CACACACACTCTGAGTTACTTTTTTCTTGGTGAAGTCATCCAAAAAAAAAAAAAATCTTAATCTTTTCTTTCATCCACTTGGATATTAAGGTAAGACATTTACAGACTCTGGTTTCCCTGGGCCTCTTTCAAGATGTCTCCTTGTGTTCTGAGTCTTTCCTTAGCTGCCCTGTCCCTCCTAGCACAGGACAGGAGGAGATGCGAGGGAAGGAGATTGGTCCTGGCTCTCTACGCCACTCTCTCTGCCCACCTCATCGATACGGTAGCTATAATTCTCAAAAGAAGGGTCCTGCGATCCCAGGAAGTCTTTAAATTAGTCAAGACCGGTCCAATCAGACTCTAAGCAAACACAGCCTTCACTCAACTGCTGTCTACCGTATCTGTGTTCACATATGTCTGCTTCTGGTCTAAATACGTCTACTTGCAATCGTTAATAACATAAATCCAAACTTCATGTCTTAATCAAGACCCAAACTCGCAGAATTCTGGTAAGATCTTTTGGAATCAGGGAGGTTGTTTACAAGAACTTTGAAAATGTTTGAGAACCCCAAAGTTTTGCTCTTTTTACTGACTAACCGTTTTGTGCAGAGCAGGAGAGATGGCAGCGCAGGCCCCTCCCACCAGGACGCCATGGCAGCCCCTCCTGCCGCGGGCGTGGCCGCATCCCCAGAGCCAGGAATCCTTTTTCCGTTCGCTACCGCCTAATTTGCCAGTAAGCCCTTTGCTCCTCGTTCTGGTCCCTTACTACCTGGAGGCACATCTCCAGCAGCAAATAAACCAGGACAGGAAAAACAGGTTCAAGACATTTCCATAATTCTATTTGTTGATCACTTTAAGAGTCAAATTATGTTTGAAAATTTTTTAAATCATTACCTGTAGATTCGATTCGATCTTAGTCAATGCTGTCCAACAAACATTAAAATGCAAGCCACTTGTAATCTTAAAATGTCCAGTTGCCTCATTAAAATAAGTAAAGAGGGGCACCTGGGTGGCTCAGACGGTTAAGCGTCCGACTCTTGATTTCGGTTCAGGTCATGATCTCAGGGTCGTGAGATCCAGCCGACTCCGTGCTGGGTGTGGAACTTTCTTAAGATTCTCTCTCTCCTTCTCCCTCCGCCCCTCCCTCCCTACCCCACCCCAACCCCGCCCCTGCACATGCGCACTTTCTCTCGCTAAAAACAAAAACAGGTGAAATTAATTTCAGTGATATATTTTGTTTAACCCAGTGTATTCAAAATATTACCATTCCAATGTGGAATCAACATTAAAAACCGAGATGTTTTACATTCTTATTTTGCATTAAATCAAAATCTGGTGTCGGTTTTACACTGAACACCACATCTCAATGGGACCAGCCACATGCTGGGGCGCTCTGCGGCTACCCGTGGCCAGGGGCTGCTGTACCGGCCAGGATGGCTGCAGCTTTCCCCCTCCTAGATGCCTCCCCTTCATGGGGTAAACCGTGAGGGTCTTTAGGAAAGCACTAGGTGGAAGGCATTATGATTCACCAACTTCAGTAATTTCCAGCCCCTCTATGAGTCACTAGAAATGTCACCTTTGAGGAGCCAGAGATGGAGGAGCTCAGGAGTCTGAGATGCCGGCCATCTCCTTCCTTGCCCACTCTTGTGGGTATCTTGGCACCACTGAACACACACACTCAAGACTCCCATGCAACCTGCCCACCCCCAGGCTGCAGTGTGCAGTCTGTGCCAGGCCTGAGTGCCCCCTCACCTCACCTTCTTGCAGGGCAAGCAGGCTTCCAGAAACTGGAATGGGGCAGGCTGGTGAGGCCCCAGCCTCGGGGAGAAACCTGAGTGAGGAAGGCACTGGGAGGCAAAGGGGACGAGAAGGGGACTGACAAAATGGAAGCCCATGAACTCTAGCACCAGCCGGTCCGGTTCCCAGCTCCACCACCTATGGTTATCTGACCTCCCTGAGCCTCCTCTCCTCATCCGTTACGTGGGGCTCGCTGACTCCTTCGGGTTGAGATAGCAGCCAAAGTGCTGAGGGCCTGGCATGGAGGAAAGTGACCACTCATGGCTTGCTGCCATCTGAAGAAGCTGTGTCACCCTCTGCAGGGACTCCCAGCCTCTGCCAAGCCAGCCCCCTCACTTGCTAACTCTTCTTGTCCCTAAGAGGACACTGCCAACACCCTGCCCCCACCCCTGAGCCTTTCACTGGGTCACCTCAGTTCCAGCAAAGTCAGTGGCTTCCTGCATCTCTCTGCTTGAGGAGATTCCCCAGGAAACACCAGAGATCTGCAAGGAGCTGGGGGGAGGAGCTGCCTAGGAAATGAGGGTCCCAGGATGGACCCCTATCAATGAGGGACAGGAATTACTGGATAAATACCCCAGCTTCCTCACCCCGGAGCAATTCTGCAGTGCATTCTACATGGTTCTTCAGAGGGTCCCCAGTGGGGTTGAGCCCCTGTTGCCCACAGTGATAACCTGCTCATTAGCTTGCTCTTATTGGCTGTCTTCCCCTCCCCATCTCCCTTCTGTAGCCCCTCACTGTGCTTCCTGAGATCATCTCTTCAAAAAACAGCTTACACCCAAATCCTTGGGTCAGGGTCTGCAACCTAAACCCACAGGAGCCCCACCAGCCCACCACTCCCACAGCATTCTCCTTGCCCCAACCTAGGGTGCCAGCCTAACCACACAGAGATCAAACTTTTACTGATTCACTGGTGCTAGGGACTAAAAAAGAAGCCTTACAGCCAGACCCGGGAGAGTTCACACTACATGATTCCATTTCTATTACGCTCAAAACCAGGCACAGTAATTAATGCTGTTCCAAGTCACACAAGTGGTGCCTCTTGGAGGGAAGAGGATAGTGACACAGGGAGGAGCAGTGACTTCGGGGGGCTAGACGTACAGTAGCCCCCCTTATCTGTGGGTTTGCTTTCAGTGATTTCAGTTACCCATGGTCAACCACAGTCCAGAAGCAGATGATCCTCCTGCTGACCTAGCTTCGGAAGGTCAGTAGTAGCCTAATGCTACGTCATTCAGCTCGCTTCATCTCATCACGTAGGCATTTTATCATCTCCCATCATCGCAAGAAGGGTGAGTATAGTATGATAAGGTATTTTGAGAGAGAGAGAGACAACGTTCACTTAACTTTTAATACAGTATATCTCTGTAAGTGTTCTATTTTATTATCAGTTCTTGTTGTTAATCTCTTACTGTTCCTACTATATAAATTAAACTTTATCAGGTATATATATATATGATATATAGGGTTTGGTACTACCTGTGGTTTCAGACATCCACTGAGGTCTTGGAATGTATCCCCATGAATAAGGGGGACTGCTGTATTCTGTTTTTTTATCTCGGTGCTAGTTACATGGGTGTGTTCACTTTGTAAAAATTCCTTAAACGCGTCAAACTCTACACTTATGATTTGTGTGCCCTTCTGGATGCATGCTACATTTAAATGAAAAATCCACTTGAGAAAAGGTATTTTAGAAGGGAAAAAGGAACTTCTAAGTATGCCAGTCCACTCTCTCTGGTGGAGGACACTCTTCCCAGGCCAGGCAAACAGCTCCTGGCCAGCACTCTCAGAACACAACGGTGGGATAAGGGCTATACAAGAAATCTGAATACACAGGATCGGAGAAGGGCCCTGTGTGAGGACTGAAGAGCTGGGATCTCCATCCGGAGGGAAGAGTGGACACTGTCCTATTCCACCAAGATGCCAGAGGGAACCCCAAACTCTGAAAGGACTTGAGGATCAGGAGACAATCTATCGTAAATTCTATGAGGCTGTAGAGAGAATGGGTCATGAGTAGGATGGGGCTGAATGGTTAGGACGGGATGGGTTTACCTGAAATGAAATGGGATACGACAGGACAGGATGGGGATTTGAAGATGGGACCCAGATTGTAAGAAGCTTACATGAAGTCCATCAAGATGAGGAGTTTGGATTTCATCTCACCCAGGGTTGGAGAATTTTCAGAAGGGAAATGGCATCCTTAGAATTATCTTCAAAAGATCCCTCTTTTGAGGTATAGAACTGTGGGCCTCAAGGGGAAGCCTAGAGGCCAGATGTGTCTAAATTAAAACAAATGATGCCTTAACCAGTCAGAAGGGCTGGAAGAGAGGCCAGTGGGCACCCCTAGGATCCTCTGTGAATTGAGCTGGTAAGGACCCAGATCCATGCTTCATAGGTCTGGAAACTGAGGAAGGACCAAGGGGAGGAAGACACTTGCCAGCCTCACATAGGAGCCGAGCATTTCCTTCTCTTCGAGCTCTCAGGAGCTCATTCTGAGACTGGCTTACATCCCAACAAAGGAGCAAAAGACACCACCAGTGAGACCACAAGAATCCATTCCAGCAGTCAGCCAGATGATGGCTGAACTATGCCCCGGGGAGCCTTGTGTCAGACTTCACAACTCTGAGGACACTTCCAGCCAGTGATGTGTCTTGAGGGGCCCTAGAACTTGGGCCATTACCACATCATACAGAGGCGAAAACAGCGTCAGCAAAGGGCCTTGCCTGGCCCAAGGTGACTCGGGGGGCTGGTGGCACACCCAGGAGGTGAGCCCAGATGCACTGGCCTCAGACGTCCCAACCTGCCGTCTTTCCAGAAATACCACACTGCTCCATGCTCCCGATGTGGTTCTCTGGTGGCCAAGGGGCAGGAGCTCCGTGGGCCAGAACCGCAAAAGCAAGCGCGAGGCCCACGCCCCCTCCCCTTCCTCACCTGTATGCGTGCGGACGTGCCTCTTCAGGTCGAAGGTGTCATTGAAGCCCTTGCCACAGAAGGTGCACAGGTGCCTCTTCACCTGGTTGTGGCACTTGAGGTGGCGGTTGAGCATGCGCTGCAGGCGGAAGGCCTTGCCGCACAGCTCACAGCTGTGGGCCGCGGGGTCGCTGCACGTGCCTGTGGTGAACTGGGACAGAGGGGGGTGTGTGTGAGGGCCCTGGGGCAGGCGGGCGCAGCTGGTGGGCTCAGCCCGGGGGGCACACCTCCCTGTGTGTCTCCAGGCTTGGCCAGGCTGGGGCTCCTGACCCCTACAACTTCCAAGCGGGTTTGGGAAGGAAATGGCTGGAAGCTCCTTCCCACGTTCATTTCCCCCCTCCTTCCTCAGAACAGCCTTCTGATTTCTGGGCACAACGGCCCCCAGTTGAACATCTACAGCAAGTCACGGTGGCGGGACTAGTGGGCCAACGGCATATACCCCTTCTGTGGGGGAAGGGGGAGCCCTCTTCCTCCTCTGCTCCTTCGTGCTGGCCAGAACTCCAACAGCCACCCTGGACCATCGAGGGGAAGCCAGTGCTGAGGATGGGAGAGCAGAAAGAAAGGAGTCCAGGTCCCAATGAGGTACAGAGTCCCCGAAGACAGACACAGCCGATTCCTTCCTCCCTGTGCCTGCACGCTGCTCCATCCATCAGGAGATTGGAAACCCTTTCCTCTCCCCTGGGATCTGGGCAGGGCCTGTGTAAGTTCTAGGTCTTAAGACACTTTGCAGCTGGGGCGCCTGGGTGGCTCAGTCAGTTGAGCGTCCGACTCTTGATTTTGGCTCAGGGTCGTGAGATCGAGACCCACTCGTTGGGGCTCCGTGCTGAGCAAGCATGGAGCCTCCTTGGGATTCTCTCCCTCCCTCTCTCTCTACCCCCCCACCAACGTGTGCGCTCTCTAAAAAAACAAACAAACAAACAAACAAACAAAAACAAGAGGGAGAGAGACTATGCAGCTTCTACATGTTCCCTTTTGGAAGCCAGCTGCCATGTAAAACATCCAAGACCACCATGCCGCGAGGAAGCCCAAGCAGCCATGTGGAGGGCAAGGCCACTGGGAGAGGCACTGAGGTGCCAGATAAAGCCTCACTGGGCCTCCCAGCCCAGCCCACGGCTGCCATCAGTTAAGTGACTCTGGCCAGTGCCACCCAGGGTACAGCTACCTTGCTGGGCCATGCCCTAGCTCCTGACCCACCAAAGTATGAACTCCTAAAATGATCATTTTGGGAAGTGACTTGGTCAGAATCCCACAGCTTCATTCTCAGCAAAATAACCCCAGGCCCTGGGCTTCCAGTCCCATGGGCCCTCAACCATGTTTGCCGCCTCTAAGGCAGAAACTTGAATCTATAATTAAATGGTGAAAAACACCAGAGCTGATATATTCATCAAAGTTTTCCTAGCTACCAAACCAAATCGAAGCTTGAGCCAATTGCTCTGTCATTTGTAAAAGGGCCTAATAACCTGATTTTCATACGAACATCATTAACAGGAAGAGTTGATCCTTGCCTGGCTAACACCTCCATAGCCTCCAACACCCTTCCGCCTCCCCCCGCCCTCGGTATTGCCCTCCACTAAGTCCCAGCTCAAGTGCTCCCTCCCTGATGCAGCTTCTCCAATTACTGCAGCTTCTGCCCAAACTGTTTTCTGTAGCCCTAAGACCAGGGCCCTCAAGCCCCAGTGTACACACAAGTCCCCCGGGGGTCTGATTCAGCAGGTGTGGTGGAGTCTAGATGCTGCATTTCTAGTCAGCTCCCAGGAGATGCCACTGTGCCATGGACTGTACTGGACACATGAGGCTAGGGTATGGCCCTCACACAGTTCAGTACGCTATTCCACTCGTTCCAGAGGGTTCCATCATGCACAGATGTTTCCTCAGTGTTCACCTTGTTTCCTCAAGTAAACGCCTTTGCAGAAGTCAGCAAGTGTTTGTGCACATTCCTGCCCCCCACCCCCCAAGCTCAGACTCAGGCCAGGGCACCAAGAGTGTTGATGGGCAGTGGCTCACAGTGGCAAAAGACAAAGAGACTTGGGGGAGGCACAAGACCCCAGAGCACAGTTTTCGGTCGGCCTCCTCGTCTGTTTGGAGCTTAATTTGTCTCAGCCGACATACGGAGTGCCCGGTCTGCAACAGGCCCTGTACTCAGAGCTGGAGGCAGCACAGTCACCAGGATGGCTTGTCCCCAAGAAGCTGCCAGTCTAGTGGGGAAGCAGACCCATCAAAAGGCCACTGGTATCTGGGAAGCTCCGGGAGCAATGGACACCTTGGAGAGGCACCTACCCCAGACGTAGAGTATGAGGGAAGGTGCTTCCGAGGAAGTGAGCTCACTCCTCAGCCAGGCAAAGATGAGGAGGAAGAGAAGGGCAACCGCAATGAATATTTCAGAAGTGGGCAATGGGCAACAGGGAGACTGCGTGTGGTTCCACATGGCTAGCCTGAACCCAAGAGAGCAGTTAATGAAAAGAGCTGGGGTAGCAGGGCAGGGCAGCGTCCTCCTTGGGGCTCTACCTTGGGGCCCTAAAGAAACTCAGTTCTATTCAAAAGGCAGAGGGGCCACTGGAAGGCACACAGGAGGATGGCCTCAGGGGTTGGGTTGTTGACCCAGTGGGTTGCCACCTGGGCCTCCAACTGCTCAAAGCCCACCACTGTGTCCTCCAAAGGGGTAGGGCTTGGTCCTCGTCCTGAGGGAGACCCAGCTGAGCCCAAGACTTTCTTATTTCTGTCACCAGGATGGGGCAGGTCTTTTCTCCTTGCCTAGAAGTCCCCATTCTGGGCATCGCAGCCCTTGAAGGGATGTAAAAAGACTAAATATGACCTGGGGTGCCTGGGTGGCTCAGGTCATATTCCAGGGTCCTGGGATCAAGTCCCGAGTCGGGCTCCATACTCAGCGGGGAACCTGCTTCTCCCTCTCCCTCTGCTCCTCGCCACTGCTGGTGCTCTCTCTCTCTCTCTCGTGCTGTCTCAAATAGATAAATAAAATCTTAAAGAAAAAAAAAAAGACAAATATGACCCAAGTCTTGGCAAACCGAATACCTGGAGTTTCTCAAGGCCAAGTCTACACAGGAGAAAGGTCACTGAGAGCTGGTGAATGCCTAATAAAACAGAACACAGACAACTGACCCATGTAGTTTGATTAAGAACATGCAAAAAGCTAGAACTCTTCCTGCAGAATGTTCTTAAGGACTTGCCAACTTAGAGTCCAAACCTGAACTCCTGTTTACTTTAAGCCTTTTGGTAAATTCCTATTTTTAAAATGCTCTGCATGTAATATGGATACCTTCTATTACAGTCCAGGATGAAAACCTCAAATCACTGGCATTATTTTGTTTGAAAAGAATAAAATCTTGAAGGGTAGAGAGAAAGGAGGTTAGTGACAACTTAAGGGAGTGCAGGGCCAATGGATCATCTGACCAAGATACAGAAAGCCTTTTAACACAGGGGAGAACATGAGGATGGGGGAGGAGACTGGGGACTAAGCAGTTTTCCTCTGGTTTTCTTGTAACAAAAATAGAAATTCTCCAAGTGTACGTCAACATAGGCAAATTTCCCATTTCTCCATCTTCATATACATCCCCATTCCACAGGATGGCAAACTGAGCCAGCACCAAGGGGCTCATTTAGGGAATCCATGAAGCACTGTTTGCCACCTCTCTCTATCTATGACCAACCCAGCACCCGGATATTAAGGAATTATATTTGAAGGCTTAAAAGGGCCTTGTTGAAAGATGTAAAGTTAATTAAATGGCAAAAGACCATGGCTGATGTAGCCAGCTTCTGCCAGACTATTTCAATCCTCAGAAAGGAAGGACTATTTGTAGGATAAATTCCTAAATGTGAAATTTATCCCAGAGTATACTTCACATGGCAGGTGCCCTGAAATTCTGTCTGTAATGGCAAAAGACCAGGAACTACCTATAAGTCCATCAATAGGGGCTTTAAAAAGATGGTAGAACCATATAATTAAAGCATCTAGGAAAAGGAAACAGTGTCAGCTGTCAGACACGTGATCCAGCCCAGTTAAGCCCCCAGAAGATTCAAGTCGGCTGCCATTTGACTGCGACCACGAGAGAAACCTCAGGCAAGAATGGCCCAGCTAAGCCCAGTCATTCCACAGAACTAGAATATAGAATAATAAATTAGGCTGCTAGGGGTGCCTGGGTGGCTCAGTCGGTTGGGTGTATGCCTTCGGCTCAGGTCATGATCCCAGGACATCCTGGAATCGAGCCCCTTGTTGGGCTCCCTGCTCAGCAGGGAGTCTGCTTCTCCCTCTCCCTCTTCCTCTGTCCCTCCTCCCCAACTCCGTGCTCGCGTTGTGTGCTCTCTCTCTCGCTCAAGTAAATAAAGAAAGTCTTGGGAAAAAAAAAATTAATAAATTAGGCTGCTAAATGTGGGGTTATCTGTGAAAGTGCAATAGGGAACTGGAACAGTAAGAGATGTATCACAATCTCTCCAAAGCACGAGACCTGCCACATTTCCTAATGTTCTCTTCCAGGATGGGCTGCAGGATACAGACAACACATCTGATTCCTGGAATGACATCCCATGGGCCAGAGCACCAGCAATCCCTCCCCAGGTCACTGGGCCATCTTTACAATGTTTACAGAGGTTTATACCTAACACCTGACCTCCTAAAAGTTCAAAATAAGGTTAACCAATCATACCTTGTTACTCCACTTTGCAAGTAGTAGACCCAAACTAGTTACATCTTGGCCTTCTTGGTTACAAAATGAACAGACAAGGAATGCTCAGGATCAAATAAAAACCTATACCTTCCATCACCCACTTGTGGGATGTCATTTAATATCCCTGCACCACCATTTCCCACATGTTAAGTATGATAAAATGGCGGGGCACCTGGCTGGCTCAGTCCGTACAGCATGTGACTCTTGATCTCAGGGTCGTGAGTTTGAGCCCCACATTGGGTGTAGAGATTACTTAAAAAAAAAAAAAATGAGGGGCACCTGGGTGGCTCAGCCAGTTAAGCGTCTGCCTTCAGCTCAGGTCATGATCCCGGGGTCCTAGGATTGAGTCCCGTATTGGGCTCCCTGCTCAGTGAGGAGCCTGCTTCTCTCTCTCCCTCTGCCTCTTTCTCGATCTTTCTATCTCAAATAAATAATACAATCTTTTAAAAAAATGATAAAATGGTATTAGATG